ACCGCGACTTCGGCCTCACCGGGGCCGACACAGCACTCTGTGCCGCCTCCGCCGCCACCGCCTCGGTCACCTCTACTGCCGCCGCCGCCGCCGCCGCTCCGCCAGCTCTCACCTCGTCTCGCGATACTAAGGGCGGGGAGCCTGACGATGGGAGGGAGGGAGCGTGAGGGAGCGTGAGGGAGCGTGAGGGAGCGTGAGGGAGCGTGAGGGAGCGTGAGGGAGCGTGAGGGAGCGTGAGGGAGCGGGGGGGGGCGGTTAGAGGCAAAGAGGGAGACCGGGGTGTCGGGAGACCCAGCAGAAGGGAGACTACCCAGAGTCCAGGGAAGTGTGCCTAAGGCGACTTCCGATGAGGGGACGGTGAGGACAGAGGAGGCCGCAGTTACTGTCGTAGCACCCGCGAACACCCGGATTTCTCTTTTCTCGCTATTTCCCCCCCACACGCAGCCCTTCAGACCTCCCTTCTTCCTTGCTGGTGATTAGAACGCAGCCGCAGGCGGAAGTACAGGTGACGCCATCAGCCGTCGCCTGAGCGGTGGCGCGCGGGTGGCCGAAAGATGAAAGTGAGCTTTCGAGGGCCGGGTTCCGGGCCCTCGCGAGAGGGCAGAACTGTGGTGCGTGGAGCTGGCGGGCAGGCTGGAGAAGAGCGGCCCGGGCCGGTTGGAAAGCGGGTGCGGAAGCGCAGACCAGACACTTTGTTAGCGGGAGGCCCTGACCGCCAGATCCGGGAGGTGGGGCCTTGTTCTGGGCTGTTGTACGTAGTTTTCGTGCCTGGCCATTTTTTTCTACCGCCAAATGGTGAGTTAGGGCTTTGAATCTAGAGAGATGGCGTCGTGTAAAGGAAAGAGCCCCCTTTTCCTAAGTTTAACTTTTGGATCATAGACTTCATGAACCTCTGAGTTTATATTTGTGTAGCATGAAGGAGATCCAAAGTTTCCGAAGGAGAGAAGACAGGAGAAGGAAGCAGGAACCGTGCCCGTCTTTGCAGACGATTCAGTCCTTCCACCCCTCACCTACTCAACTTTTATCTGTGAAGTGAGCATCATAAATAATCATCCTTTTCTGTGAATCTCTTGGAAGAAATATTGTAATGGGAGTTGTGAGTTCATTCGTGGGTGTCTGAAGAACTTTCAGGACTTTTGAAATAATAGTGTAGCTTACTGAACTCAGAATTATCCCTTTCTGGTTCAATAAGAACAGTGGCATAAGGAAAATAAAGGAAACATCAAAGGCAGATGTACTGGCACAAGATAAAAAGTATGCCTCAGTTGACATAGTTGCCATTTTAAGACTGCTAAGTTTAGCTGAGTGTGCCTGAAATTTTTTTAGCTTTTTTTTTTCTTTTTAGTATTGGCATGCCATATGAAATGTGGGCAGTTGCCAGTACTCTAGAGAGTACTATGGCAGAATTGGCAATGATTGAATTAATCCATTCAAACAAAAATTCATCATGTGCCTACTGTGTGCATAGTTTATAAAATAAATCTCTGCTTCCAGGGGACTTCACAATGTGATAAGTGCTATAGTAAATACGTGACACAAAGTGCTAACCGTCTGCCTGTACCTCTCCTACAGCGGTTGCTAAGTTCTGGTGCAGAACAGTACACTACAGTGTATATTTTAACACTAGAGACTTAGGTCTATAACCTCAGCTGGATTCCTCCTTCCTACTTATATATTATATTCTTCAGCACCTTATCCCCGCCTCCCACCAGGATATTTTTGCAGTGTTTAAATCCCAGCCACATTTCATTATATGTCTTTACTTCAAACTTCACAAGAAGATTGATGCTATTAGGCACAAACTCCTTCAGTTTTCCAAATGCTGGAAGCTGATACTTCTGGATCTTTTCTTTCCTCCAGTGTCAGAGGAATGAGATACTCCCTGCTCTTACACAAGGTGAATTATCTGTATGTACTTTAGTTCCAAACCCCTCTTGCCCTTCTATTTGTTATCTTTTCTGTCTCCAGTCCTCTACATTTGTGTTTCCACTCTTGTTTCCTTTCCTTTACAACCAAGCTTTAAAGAGTATTCTACGTTCAGTTTCTCTTTTTGTTACCTAAATTTCACTTACTAACCCTCTGCAGTCTAACTTATGTACCTATAACACTATCAAAAACACTTTCTTTGAAGTAATCCCATTGTTTAGAAGAAAGTGAATTCTTGCTTTATATAGTAATGAAATGATTAACTTCTTGGAACTAGTAGAATAAGGTCCAACCCATTAGAATTGTCAAAGCCCCTGGAGTGACTTTCTGTTATTTTTATTTAGCATTTTTTGCCTTTTAGAACTTTGTAACAGAAACTTGACTAGTCATTCATTAAACATATTTCTTCTTCCTGGACATACAGCTAGACTAAATATCCCAATTTCCCTTGCAGTCAGTTGTGACCATGCGAGACCATGTGATTGACTTAACCAGTGAAATGTGAATGGAAGTAATGCACTCATTTCCAGGCTTAGAGAAGTCCTTCTATTCCTACCTTAGTCTTTCTCCATCAACTTGAAGCTAGTGAGTATGGTAACCTTGAAAACTATATGTTAGAGATGCCAGAGCCAGAAGCGGGAAGGAGCACGTGTGGCTGAATTACTACGCGGGAAGACAGACACCTCCAAATTATAAACACTTATTTTTGGACTTCTTGTAAGAAAGAAAATTGAGGTTTGATAATTTATTTCATAGGAATTAGAATGACCATAACTTCGAAATTGGTACTGACAGTAGGGTACTGCTAAGATAGTAACCTAAAATATGTTGTGTCAACTTAGTGATGATGTAGCAGATGTTGGAGAAACTGGTATGAGAGGCTGGAAAAAGGATACCCATGTTTTGAGTGGCAAAATAGTTGGTAAAACTGTCACCTATGATAATTGAAAAGCATATTACCCATCTATTGAGTCGTTAGCTCTGTACAGTCTTAATAATAAGAGGAAATCGTTCAAAAGAGTAAAAGTAATGATATATTTTGAATTTTTACGTTTTACCTTAAGCAAGATTTTACTAAAGAGATAAGCTCAGGAAACAACTGCAGAAATGAAAATGCATAGAAATATTTGGAAAGATTGGAAAAGCTGACTTTTTCTAGACCTTGCACAGTTAAAAAAAAAATGAAACTGGAAGAGGTCTTGAATACAGTCCCCTCAAGATTTAGTACTGGAACAAAGATCAAATCAAGTTTTTGGCCTTCCCATCCAACCCATTATTTCAGATGGCCTCAAGGTAGCTGGGATGAAGTTCTTGAGAAACTGGCATGGGAGCAAAGAAGCAAAGAAGTAAATCAGGTTTGAGAATTATGTGAGAAAGAACTTTGGGTGTAGTTACTGGAAGAAAATAGATCACAGGACTAATTTTTGAAGGAATTTTATTAGTAATCAAATCATGAAACTGATTCAAATACTGTTCAAGTATTAAAACAGTGAGGCAACTCTTCAACCCCAAACTTACATAAGTAGAAAATTGGGCTTAAATGCTTTACAGCTCCCAGTACTCACATAGGATGTGGCCGTAGAGAATAATGGACAGAGAACATTTCAGAGGCTGATGTCAGACCAAACAGAAGACAAAGCACAGACAAGTTCCTCTCCAAAACTAGATTGGGATCTCATCAAAACTTCTTCCACTCTCAGGGGAAATAGATCACAAAATGCCTACTCAGTATTTCATCATTGTTTTATTTATCTATATATCTATATCTGTCTGTCGGCCTGTCTGTCTGTCTATCTATCTATCTATCTATTGCCTAGTGTCTCACATTTTTCTCTTTTCCTAATGACAGCATATTGTAGTTACCTCTTTCTGATCTACCCCGTGCATTGTGCATTGTGTTTGCTGGAACTTGGGGTGATATTAGAGATAACTTGTGTTTTTAACTCATAGGTTGCATTTGGACTTAATGAAGAGAAATGCACATTACCTGAAAACGTAGACTTTAAGCCTGACCTCGTGACTGGATAGAACTTTTAGGTTGTGTTTATTTGGGTAGGGTGTGTTCCTTGTGTGGGAAGAGAGGTAAAATAGATATTTAGTAATCAGAATAGTGGACTTTTGCTGACACTCAGTTCTTTTCGGGGGCACAATTCTTCTTAGATTTTATCTCCCAGCCTCCTTTACAATTAGGCTTACCAGTTAGATATGCCAGTTAGGTTCTAACCAGTAGAATATAAGTATAAATGATGTGTTCCTTTTGCAGCTCTGGTCCATGAAAATATCACATGAGAAGTTTCTCAGCATTTCCCTATTCCTCACCAACTTAAGGCATTTGTATTGGAAGCCCTGTATTGAACATGGCAAAGCCACAAGGTGGAAAGACTCTGGTTTCCTGAATCTTCACTCGGAGGATAGCTGCCTGCCTATTAGGAATACTTGTGTTAGAGTTCATGTGCATTCTTTTGTGTGACCCACTGACATTTGAGAGTTTGTTCTAATATAGACCTACCCTTCTTTGCTCCAAGTGCAGCCATCCATTTCCCCGTCTTAACTCATACCTCAGAGGTAGGCTCATAAGTCAAGCTGGCCAAAGTTACCCTAATTCCTTGGTCACAGTGATTGGTTTAAGAATGGGCAGGGTAACAAAAGCTAATCAGATACAACCTCACCATTTTGGCTAGCATTATTGAGAAACAGGCACCTTACTCTGGCTAGAATTAAGCAAAAAAAATTACCTATGGCCTTTGGCCACCATGTGAAGTGAACCTGTCTGAGAATGAAATCATTGCAAGAAAATTGAAGCAGTCTCAATGGTATTGCAAGAGGAAAAAAGAGCCCATGAATTGAGACATGTATTTCTTGGCTCTCTCCTCAGGGTTGAAACCCTAAGGGGTAAGGGACAGATACTGCCAGGAAGACTTCGGAATTTAAAAACAGGGAACTTGTGACTTGTGCCCTGTTTCCCACTTGGAATTTTGCCCAACAGAGGCAACTACAATCAAGTGGAAATGGCAGCATATTGTGTTTAAGCAGAGGGCCAGGCAGCATTGATAACCACTCCTATTCTTTCATCTTCCTTGACAGCAGTGAACTGAAAAGGAGATACAGAATTCTTTAAGAGGTATGCAAATTTGGTTCACAGTAAGAGCCCAATGCTTTATATGGGCTTACTGCAATACAAGATGGTGGAAACTTATGACAGAGGCTGTGGTATGAATCCATGGGTTGGACAGAGGATCCTACTGAGAAGACATTAACACCCATAAATTCTAAGGTTAGCGCAGAGGAAAAACAGTCACACTTTCAGAGAATTGTTTACAACTTGTATCAAGAATGGACTCTAGCCACAAATTTAGACAAGAAGCAGACCAGATACTCCCTCCACCAATGCCATGATAGTAAGGGACTTACCTCCCACAACAAGATAAAATCTTAGAAAGGAGAACAGCCTAATAATATCTTAAACTTTTACTTCCCTGTACTTCCATCCAAAATTGATGTGAAATTCAAAACAGACTGTTAAACTGGAGAAGAGCAAGAAATCTCAGATTGGCAAGGTTTGGGTTTTTATTCCTGAGTAGTACGTAAAATAGTACCAGTGTCAATAAATGACACACCCTGAAATCTAAAACTGATGAGTGTAGGTGAGTTGCACCGTAATGATTCCATGGCTCTGGCTAGGAAATTCGGTGATACTTACTATGTTGTAGTAAGCAAACAAGCTGTTAAATTTAGATCTTAGGCAATGTCTGTATCAAGATTAAAGTTTTAGGGGAATTGATAGAAGAAATGTCAGGAATTGATAGAAGAAATGTCAGAGTTTTGGAATGTGTCCATTAACGAGATCCTACAAGAAAGGGATGTACTTCCTATATAAATGCAGAAGAAAGAATACAGTTGACCCTTGAACTGTAGATTTTTTTCAGTAAATACGATTGGCTCTCAGTATCCATGGGTTCCACGTATGTGGTTAAATCTGCAAATGCAGAATCCACAGACACGGAGGGCTGACTACTGGATTCAAGCGTCAGTGGATTTTGGTATCAGTGGCAGGTCCTGGAACCAGTCCCACTTGAGTATCAAGGAACAACTATGCATTGCTACAACACCCCCTTCCTGCATGTACTCAGTAATTTGTGTGACTGAATCAAATAAACCTGCATCTTCTCTGTCCTGAGCTAAAATTAGTACAAGCAAAAGTAGGGAGCTAGAAACAGTAAAAGATGCAGTTGGAACCCGGACAAAAGCCTGATTTTTGATCACCTCATGCATCTCTTGCAGGTGTATATCCTGTCCGATAAAAGTTCACAAATTAGTCCTATTATGAGGAGGCATTCACTGAGATGCAACTTGGGGGCAAGTGGACAGATAAAACCTGGCTGCATTATCCCTAAACTCATTCCTCAGTTTGTAATTTTGGTTGCAGTAGTCAAAATGAAGATACTTAGTTAATTTAGTTGACTGAAGGATAGACATTGCATTCCAACCTTGTAATACATTGCTAAGGGACAGAAAACAGATTGGCACACCATCTCTGTTTTTGGTTTCTAAACTACAGAGTTAACCAAAAGGCAAGGTGACCAGCAGCCAACTAAGATTGCAAAAGATATGTATAGACAAAAACACCAAGCCTTGCTAACAAAGACCTATGATTCCTTAATTCCAATACCCTCTTATTGTGCAAGGGTTAAGGGAGCACCTTCCAGAGGGCAAACTCAAGACATTAACTGACCAAGGACCTCATCAACTAGCTAATCAGAGTGTCCTTACTCTTCTTGTTAGGTATATACTAATACCTAATAAAATTACCTTTATCATGCTGTACCGTGATGAGCTACATGCAAACCTGGTTAAAAGAAATGCATATCACCTAGAACTCTTGGTTTCCAAGCAATATACAAAAATTGGATGAGATTTTGGCATGTCTGTCATTGGAGAGGAGAGTATTTCAGTTGTCCGTGGGATAATTGCATTGTCTTATGCTGGGACATTTTTGAAATTATATATACTGAGCAAAGCACAAGAGTAGGTACTGGGTAGCAAAAGGGTGAAATGTAGTGGACAATACTTTTTGTATGTCCATCTTTTCACAAGATTTTTTTCCTTTATGTAACAAAGCTGTCCATTATGTGACAACCTGCCATAAAGATAGGCACATGAGCCTATCTTTAATTTAATTATCTTTAGTTTCATATGAATTCCAGAGTAATGTATGAAATTTTTACTGAGGCTAAAGCTACTGCTGACCATCTTTGACACAACACAGAGCAAACCTATTTTACCATATACAGGCATACCTCGAAAGTATTGCAGTTTCAGCTCCAGACTACTACAATAAAGCAAATATCACAGTAGAGTGAGTCATACGAGTTTGTTGGTTTCCCAGTGCATATAAAAGTTATGTTTATACTATATTGTAGTCTATTAAGTGTGCAATAGCATTATGTCTTAAAAATGTACATGCCTCAAATAAAAAATGCTTTATTGCTAAAGAATGCTAATCATCATGAGTCTTCAGCAAGTCATAGTAGTAACATCAAAGTAGTATCGCAGATTACCCAGTCAAATATAATAATAATGAAAAAGTTTGAAATGTGAGAATTATATCATAGTGTAACACAGAGACATGAAGTGAGCAAATGCTATTGGAAAAATGGTACTGATAGACTTGATCAGTGCAAAGTTGCCACAAACCTTTCATTTAAAAAATGTGCTGTCTGTGAAATGCAATAAGGCAAAAAGTAACAAAATAAGGTATGCCTATAGAAAAAAACAAAACAAAACAGAAGAAGGCAGTATAAGCAATAGAAAGAGGAGAGTCCAGATAGCATTTGAAGTCCAGGACCATAGACTAACCCATAGTCCATTAAGTGACCACTAAGTTCTGTCTTTTTTCCCCACCCACACCTGCCACCCTCATTTAAGCTATTTTAAAGGAGTTTTTATACATTTGCAACTAAAATATTCCTGACTAATATAGTTCCTGGGTGGCATAGTCCCATTCTTTGACAATCTTACAAAACAAAGAAAGTTAATGTTGTTCCACCAAAATGGAGATATTCTTTCAATTGCCTTCCTTGGAGAAACTGTGTTTGACTTTCTTTTAGAAGATATTGATTTATGATTACTTCCTAATGGCCAGAGTCATTCATCTCTTTTCAGCTCCTAGCTTACCTGATATGTAATTTGACATTAGTTGTTGCAATTTCCAAGGGGGTCCCAATAAACAATTCCCCTCTTCTTGCCTAGGTTCTGAACAATTTGCGAAATAAAAGTGAAGGATGTAACTACCTAGTTGTGAGGTTGGAAGACAAAGCTAAATCAGACATTCTTCACAGATTTACGAATTATATAAGTCATCCAGTCTCCCCAAGTGTAGAGAAAGACCCAGAGCTATTTTGAGGTCCTTTCACTGAGAACAAACATCAGAAGCAAACAGGATGCTTTCTCCACTAGCATCATTGACCAATTCCTATTTGAAACTTACTTCCTTTAGTTTCCATGATAACGTACTTGCTTTATCTCTCTAATCAATCCTACTTATTATTCTTTATAGGCCTTTCTCTCTCTGCCTCTTAAATGTTAAGAGTTCCTCATGATTCAGGCCATCACATTATTTCTGTCTTATATAGTGTCCTTAAGGAATCTCATTTAAGCTTACAATTTCACTTACCCATGTTTAAGACTAGTGAATTCATAACCCTTATCTTCAATCTAACACATATAGATCCAGGGTTATCAATGGAAGTACAGTGTTTAAACTAATATTTCTTTAGCCTAATCTCCAACCTAAATAGATCCAAGATTACCAGATTCTACTCATTCACTCTATGGTTTGTGTTCTCATTGTCCAATTACTTTATTTGTCCTCACAACCTTGAAGGAACACAAATATACTTTCATTGATCTGTTTCATCTCTCTAGCTCTGTGTTACAATCTAGCTTGCAGATACCTATACCATCTCAGCATCTCATAATTGTACATAACATCACACTGACTAGCTACATTGATTATATGCTCAGAGTACTGAGTGACTAGATTTCAGGGAGTGGGAGGTAAACTCCACTGAAAATCCAGGTAACTGCACTGAAATTTCTGAGAATCAAGAGGTCTTGAGCATCTCAGGATTTTCTCCTCAAAATAATAGAAAACGTAGTATACCTTTTCCCCGTATCAGTGAGAAACCAACTGATGAGCCTCTTTGGATATTGTAAGTAACATATGCTACATTTGGATATGCTATTCCAATCTATTTAATGAGTTACCGACTTTGAAAAGTCCCCCAAACAATAGAACTTTTTAGCTGGTCTAAGCGGTAGCATGACCAGTGATTAAGAGAGATCAAGATGCTATTTGGAACAAGGAGGAGAATCAATGTAACCTCCTAGGACTTTGGATCAACACCATATAATCAGCTATTCTTTTGAGAAACAGTTCCTGGCCTTGTCTTGAGCGCCTTGGTAGAGACCAAACACTACCATGAGAATTTAAGGTCATGAAGTTTTGGATAACCGTCATAAACTGAGTTTTTTCTAACTTAATAAGCTGTAAATCTGTGTATAACCAGAATCACTCCAACATCAACTGGAAATGACATATGGAAAACTGGAGTAAAGCTGTTCCTGAAACCATTAGTAAATGACTTGACCAAGTAGGTGGCTCACATTACGAGGTGACTGGTCTGTCTCTATTGCCACCATTCTGTCAAACCACACTTGTGACCACGTAGGGATTCTCTATAACCAGTTGATTCAGGAAGGAAAAATTCAAGTCTGGTTTACAGATGCTTCTGGAAAATGAGCTGGCCCCTGACAAAGGCAGATTGCTATACTATTACAATCTCACTCAGAGATTAACATTGAAATACATGCAGAAGAGTCCTTCCAAAGTGAAGAAAGTTAATCAGTATATTTCACTTTTTCAGTTTGCTTGGAAAAGCAATGTCCCATGCCTGTTTATGAGTAGTGGTTAATGATCTGGCTGGACATACAGGGGCATGGAAAACTAAGACTGCAGGATTGAGAGAGAAGTAAATTTGCAGAACCGATATGTAGATGGAACTTCTGTAGTGTTAATAGAATGTGAGCATATTTATATTTCATGTAAATGCTAGCAAACAA